CCCCCCCCCCCCTTGTGGCGGGCCTGTTACGAGCTGAAATAAAATAAGTAAAATAAAAACGAAAAAGACGAGGAAAGCGTTGTAGTGATAGTAATAAAAGACGAAGGAAAGAAAAGAAACAAAAAGATAAAAGGAAAGAACCAAAAAAAAAGAAAAAATGAAAAATATTAGAAAAAGAGAGAAAAATAAAAAGGTAAAGAAAATTCGAAGATTCAGAGACGGAAATTAGGAGGAAAAGAAGAAAAAGAAGGGAAATAAGAAAAAAGAGAATAAATTAAAAGAAAATCCAAGAACAATCGATGAAACACAAAAGTGCGTTGTAATACATTTAGATACTGCATTTTTCGGAAAATTGATAATGTCGCGAAAAAAATCGGTAATGGTTTACCGTAACAGCAAAATAGACAACGCTGGCATTAATGTACGGTGTAAGAGAAACAGTCAAGCCTTCAGTTCGTGTCGAACGCAACAACCACCATCCATATTTCATTGTAACTCCTGGATGCAACTATTCGGGCTCTGTGGATGTCCTGGTTGCATACGCGCGGAATTGAAGGCGTTTCGGCTGTCCAGGCACTCACCCAGCGCTCATAGTCCGCACTTGACCCGCGGTGCGACGCCGACGGCGGGCTTAACTGCGAGCACCCAGAATGGCAAAGCGCCTTTAATTTTTCGTTTCGACCACAAAGATATCTCCTTTGCACGAACAGTTGCATACTAACGTAGTGTGTGAGTATCTTTCGCTTTCGTGCTTCAGTTTTAATAACGCCATGTGCTAGGCTTGATTTGTGTAGAGCAACTATTCAAGCCTTGGAGACACCTCCGAGTATTCATGAAGAACTATTAATGAAGAAGAATGAAGAAGTACTGATGAAAACCCGCCGCACGATGAAACAAGCCTTTCTGAGTCGTTAGACATGAAGTTTTCGACTAAAATTGCAAATTTTAATGCTATTCTCATCACGTTGCGGAGTTCTTTTCCAGGAAATTTTACGAGAAAATCCATGAAACCACTTTAAAAACTTCGATGCCCCGTATTAACATCGATATGAACTTTTTTTGTTTCCACGTTTTGCTTGACTCCTCTCATTGACCCGCTGATCGTGATGCGGTGAACGTCTGAGTTCAAAACGCCTTCAATTCCGTGCGTATGCAACACGGGCATCCGTAGAGCTCGAATAGTTGCATCTAGGTGTTATCATGAAATTCGCTTAGTATCCGTCGCATGCCACACTTACACGAGCTTCGATTGTTTCTTAAGCCTTCACTTATTTCCAGAGCTGCCTATTGTACCTATCAAGTAAACCATTCAGATATACGTGTGCGAGTTCCTAGGTGCAATGGCAGAACTTGCACAGTAAAGTCTGCTAAATACATTACGAGGGATAGCGAACAAAACCGACTAATTGACAATTTTTGCAAAAAAAAGTTACCGACTTTGCCACACTCTACATTATAAAACACGCAAGCTGGCGATTTTAGTTTTTTCCTTTTGTGTAGGGGGCGCTTCAATGACGCTGCGATGTATACAAAAAATTCAGTGGCGTGGCGTGAATTGCGATATATCGATTGTTATGCCATTTAAACCTATAGTAAAGAATCGATTATTAAGGTGTTCGCTGCAAACACCCTGTTTATCGATCCTTTTCCATCGGTTTCAATGGCATAACAATCGATGTATCGCAAAGCATGCCACGCCACTGAAAAAATGCAAATCTAACTTTAAAATTACAAAAAAGTTTTCTCTTTGTTCTGCAAAATTGTCCGTTTGCAAATAGGCGGTATCACTGAAAGAAAAAAAGATTGGTAGAATTTACCATTCCTTAACGCTGTATTTCACACAGCATTAATTCAGAGTCAATTCTGCCGGCAAAAAGGTAAACGTTACTGAAGGAATTAAGGTTATGATATTAATAAGATATGATATAATTCCGAAATAGAATTTATTCAGTTTTACAGCACTGAGACGAACACGGCGTTAAGCTACAGAGAAGGATCTGGACTGACTAAAGACAAAGGCAAGATGAGGGGTTGGTCATCTGGTCCGCGCAGTCGCAGCTGCGTGGGAAGCGCATAGCCCCAAAAGTCGTAAAAAATCTCAAGGGCACAAGTGCAGGAGGGATGGTCCCTTTGCTGCGTTGTCAGATTAATTATTGCATATCTCCAACACGCCCCCTCAAGAATTAATCTGATTCTTGCTTGATTTGACTATGTTGCTCTGTTGAACTGCGATGCCGTGCTGCAATCGTCCTCAAGTGCCAACTCTGGGGTGATGCTTACGATCCACCATTCGGTGCTGCATGGATGAAGGGAAACCCAGGAAAACCTCCACCAGATCGTGTGCTTGCTGTTACTATGAGTTCTACTCCAAGTCCAAAAACTCGACTGATTGAACTCCAAGACTGGTAACAGCTTGATCATCATATCGGCCAGTAAATTTCCTGTGAACATACATGCGGAATCAATGACCTTATATTTTTGACGTGCTCTCACCACGTATAATGGACGTTCACATTTTTGATATCACAAGGCAAACAAGATTCTTAAATTTATGTATGCAATCCTTCGCTAATTGCAATGGGCTTCGTCGTACTCGCTTTGGTAGTGACTAAAATCACTTTTCATATTCTCTGCATGTGTTCCGACATATGATGCAGTTTTGAATAATAATGCAGATGAATTTCTCTTTCTCTCACTTTCAATTCGAAAAGTCTTTTTGTCATTCTCAATATTTGCCCAATTTGAATCTTTGATGCCAATCAAAAATATCTTCTCTTTACTTCAACGTATCTCAAAAATCATTTTACTTACGAAATGTCTTTCCATTTTTATCATATTTGATTTTCGGTATCAAATAAGTATACCATTGATCAGATAACTCGATTTACCAAAATACATTATCTAGAGCTCTTTCGTTAACTCTAGTCTCTCTTTCATTCTTATTGCCTTTCATAAAGTATTTTTCGCCCTTACTTGCATTTACTTAATTTATTTACTTAAGTTCTCTAATCAGGCCTTTTATTCCAGTTTGAATTTTAAACGCACACCCAACATAGGTACTCTTTCACCGAATATTCTCATTCTCATACACTGGCTAATCATCAACTTCTTCTTCACTCACTACGTATAGTTAAGCTTATCATACCATTTCGTTGCTTACTTTTTCTTGTTTGAGCTTAATTATTTAATATTAATTTGTCTCACTGCTTATAACCAAAAGTTTACCTTTAATTTAAATCAGACCATCTATCTCACGAGAATCTTATTTACTGAGATACTTCAAAGTTATTCTCGTACCAGACACAATTTTCAAAATAATTGTTGCTTTTTATCAAAGAGAAAAAATTTGACTGCAATTGTTTCAGATGAGTTCCTCGCACCTTGCTTGAAACCTTTCAAGTATTTTTTTCAATTAACACATGTAATCTCCGATTTTTTAAATCGAACTCTGTCAGAGATTCTCATTCGTCACTTCTCAATTTCTCTTCTTCAAATACTAATTTTTTTTTTTCTCCTCTCAATTTCGCTTCTTCAAATATAATCTCTCCTCTCGAAATTGAAGTCTCTCCTCTCAAATTCTAGTAACTTTCTCAAAATTTTGCATTTCTCTTCTCAAATTGTTAGTTTCTACTTTCAAATAGTGGCCAATCAACGCAATTTTCGCATTCAAAATAATTCGATTGTAAACTAATCTGTGTAAAATATGAAGCTTTTCTCTCTTACTTTTCATTTGCTGCAAATGCTAAAATGAATTTTGGCAAAATAAAACTGGTAATCGAGAGGATAGGTTTCATCACTGTCCTTTGAGACTAAACACTCGTACTATTCATCTCATTCCAAATGTTTTTTGCAAAATTCCTTTATTCGCCAATGTTGAAAATATAAATTAATTTCACTCGACAATACTTCTGTCGTTATGCCTTGGCATGTATCAAAGTACAAAAGTTATCGTTTATAAATGAATTGAGCCTGTTAAATTGTTGTTTCCTCGGTTTTCTTTCTACTTTCGTCGAAACTTTTCGTAAATATTGCAAGTTCAAAATTTGGGCTTCACAAAGACAAATATTAAAAGTTACCTCGTCAGTTTTATGCTCATTTTCATTTGCACTTTCCTGTTGCCTGATCCATTCTCTCACATTTCACTTTAATCTTATTTCAGTATTTTCATTTCAATTTCATCATATACTGTTTGCTTTAAGTACTGTGTATATGATATTATTAATTACAGTTTTCTAAAGTTAAGCTTACCATAGACTTGCTCTCTATTTCATTTAAGCTTATCACAGAATTTCATACTGTTTTGCCTGAGCTCACCTTTACTCACGTCTCGCACAGAGTTTGTCTCCGTTTTATTCACTTTGCACCATTCATTTGCTTTTGAGTCACGCGTGACCTTTAATTTTAACTCCTCTCCAGAATTTATTTTTTCTGGTTTTTCATCCTCAGAATTTTCTTTCTGAGTCTTCAGAGTTAATATCATTTTTATCAAGTTTGGAGATTCCTGATTTTGACACCAATTTAGTCGTATCAGTTTCCACTTGATTCCTTATTATTAAGTTTGGAGATCCCTGATTTTGACACAAATTCAGTCTATCAGTTTCCACTTGATTTTTATCGGTCACTCGAAATGCACCACGCATCTCGATGCTATGTAATTTTGTCTTACCGACTATTACATTTCGACTCTTGCAAATTTTATCGTCCACTTCCCACGCTTTATGCCTGCTCAAAAAATCAAACAGACCAGAATGGCTTTCCAGGATTTTCATCTCCCGGTTTCATCTCAGATTCTTACAGAAGAGCTAAAAACGCATAGGAAATCCATCCTTGGTTTTATTTAAAGTGCCATTACTCATTTGAAGTTTTAATTTATTCTAAGGCTTTTGTTGTTAGGGTACTTATGATTCGGTGCGTTTCCGTTGAAACAGCTTTACCCCTAAAATGCCTCGTATAATTCTACTTCAATGAACATTGCACAAGCTCTTTCACCATTCATTAGGTGATGCCATTTTTCTGCGGGGTTCGTGAAATTTCGGTGACTTATGACGTGATACCTTGCTCGACACAAAAATTTTTAAATTGTTCGAAATTTTTTATTTCTATCATTGTCACAGTATAAAATGAAAAAAACTTCTAAATCAAAAAGTGCTGAGATTCTCACAGTGAAATTGTCGAACATAAGAAAAATGCTTCTCATTTTTGTTCTATCGCAAAAAGTCACACCATTGTGTGCATACTAATCATGTAAGAAAAGAACGAAATCGTTTTGATTTCTTAAGTGGATCAGCAATATTAGAGTGCATTTTTAATGGAGGTTTATACTGACGTAACTTTCATCTTTAAATTTTCTAGAAATGGCAATTTTTACAATTGATACTACTCGCATAAATTATCGTTTGATACAACACCTTTTAAGACCAATATACTCAAATATTCCGTGAACTTTCAACTCAGTAAACTTTGTTCACTCATTTATTTGTATGGCTCTAACTTTCAAACCATATTTCATATTCATCTCATCAATTTTAACTGTCAACTCAAGTTAGGAATATTTACCAATCATTTCTTATCGATCAGTAGCGTGGCGTACTTTGCGATGTATCGACTGATCTGCCATTTAAAGGTACTGAAAAAAGATCGACAGATGGGGTGTTCGCAACGAGCAATTTAATAGTCGATTCTTTACCATAGTCTCAAATGAGAAAACTTCGACAATCGATCATTCACGCCTCGCCACTGTTATCGATACTTAAGTTCTGAAAAAGCTTACCACAAAAGGTAACGGTACTTCCCTTTTAACGTTGACTCCTGATGAGTGGGTTCTGCATGACCAGCTTTCCAAAATTCGGTATTGATAACAGGTCATAGGGTACATCATAGCAGAACCAAACGTCTTCCACAATGCCTTTGAAACCAGAGTCCATGAAACATGTTCATCCAGTACTTTGTATCTTCTCAATTTTTGTGGCCATTGCGATAGGAATGCGTGTTATCCTTCACCAAGAATATTTGTGTCCGCCCACTGTGATCAGCAAACTCAAAGAAAGTTTTGCATAACTAATTTTTCTGGTGCTGATTTATCTGGACGCTCCTCAATCCAATCAGAAGTTGAGCTTTTTCACTATCTTCTAATCAGAGATAGGTATCATTCAAACTACGAACCATGAATGCGGTTTAAGTAGCTCTTGGCGCAAATAAGCATGATTTAGCGCAAAAAAATCATAACTGTTTTTTTAAATATTCAACTTTGTTGCAATATCAAATTATCGATTACACACAAAATATCAGGTTCGAATGTCACAGCGCGCAATAGAATTTTCACACACTGTATTTTCCGTCGACTGAAAATCAAATGTCTTCGCGCGTATTCCGTGCAGAATCCATTTACGTGCACTCACGCGTTTTCATCACACACGTTTAGGTCCATATTCGTACACTTACGCGTTTTCATCACACACGTTTAATTTTCACAAGTTTAAATGAACACTTTGCTCGTTTTCCGTATACGCGGTCACGATCGCGGATATTTGCGCGTATCACGTAAGCTGCGGCCCATAACCTGAAGGAATTAAGGTTATGATATTAATAAGATATGATATAATTCCGAAATAGAATTTATTCAGTTTTACAGCACTGAGACGAACACGGCGTTAAGCTACAGAGAAGGATCTGGACTGACTAAAGACAAAGGCAAGATGAGGGGTTGGTCATCTGGTCCGCGCAGTCGCAGCTGCGTGGGAAGCGCATAGCCCCAAAAGTCGTAAAAAATCTCAAGGGCACAAGTGCAGGAGGGATGGTCCCTTTGCTGCGTTGTCAGATTAATTATTGCATATCTCCAACAGTTACTATATACTGGTACAGGTAACAACTAAAATTCACGCTGTGTAAAATACAGCGTGAAGGAATAGTATATTCTACCAATCTTTTTTTTTTTTTCAGAGATACTGTTCGTTAGCTATCGGTTTGTGAAAATTAGGAGTGTATTATATTCTGCTCGGTCCCTCCTTAAATATGAGCTGCGTTTAGTACCCGTTAAGACCCCGCCTCCAAAACATACGCTCAAGAATAATCAGTCCGTCCTATGTTTCCAATACGCGCATCCCTCCAAAGTTCTGAACCCGGGTTTTCCTTTTCCACCAGTGACAAAGTTGAAAGTTCTCCGAAAGTTTTCCCGATCCTCGCGAAGGGACGCAGGGGGGGGGGCGAAGGGAATACGGGCGCTTTATATAATGAGTACAAATGTAATAATTATTCCGGAGCCCGGCGGCGCACCGTGCTTTGCGAGAGATCGATCGCTCCGCCATTTAAATCCACGGAAAAGTATCGATTATGCGGGGGCACCCGCATAATCGATTCTTCACCACAGTTTCAAACGGGCGTACATCGATTGTCGGCGGCTCCGTTCCGCAACGGAGGAATATTTATTTTATTTTACATAATATATGCTGACACACATACATATATAATACGCGGGCGAACAAATAAGCCCGATTTACATAAATCCGTCCGGGCGGAGACCCCATCTTCGCCTTAAATTTATTTACATCCACCGTTGTCGGATTTACCGAGAGGATACGAGATTCCTAGGGGTGGTTCGGGAGCTCATTTGGTGAGTTTGGCAACGCTGTTTTTACAGTATCTGAGTTCGGGAGCCGCGGGATTTGTAGTTCCTCTCCGTTGCCAACTTAACCGGTGGCATTTTTTACAGTTGGCAACTATGATCGATTCTGAGCGGGGCAGCGATTGTTCTCGGTTCGGCGAACATGTTCGCGGGGAGAACTTTTACAGTACAGTACAGTACAGTACAGGGAAGACTGCAGAAGTGCAGGGCGCGGTTTCTAAAGAATATTGTCTCTACCGCCGTGCTAAGGAAAAACGCCGTATGAACCTTCAGACGTTGTCAAATTACCTTTGAAAAAACACGAATTTGCCGGTAAACTTTTGAATATTTTCCGTTCATTTTTTCAGCTAAGTTTGTTCGCAATTTCAACTAAAGTTCCTGAAAATTTCATGGGAAAATATTAATAACTTTCCTCAAAAATAAACGTTTTATCGAAGGAAATTTGGCAACTCTCGAATGCTCATACGGCGTTCTTCCTTGGCACGACGGTCTGGTCTCCATGGGACCAAAAGCCCACTCTCTCTCTCTCTATGAAGTTTCTCTTTTTAAAAACGGCCGCGCATTGCAAACACGGTTTTCTCATTTCCCCTCAACAGTTGGGACACCCACCCTTCGCACATACTGTTGTTCTCCTCACCACGCAAAACAGCGCCTGTAACATACTGTCGAGACCCGAGCGGAACCAACGGGCGCTGAGCCTCGTAAGATCATAAAACCGAGTCGGCAGGTTCAACGCACCACAACAGAGAATCACAATTTACACCCCCCTCACCCCTCCACCACTCAAAATAATGCGCCTTGCCACCCCCCCCCCCCCCCCCCCCGCCCCGCCTCGGCCCCGCTGTGCCGTTTTGCAAATGGCTGTGGCAAGACAAAGCACATTACTTTCAACGGGGAAACAATACAACTTAAATTACAGCGCATGGCTCTGAATTGTCATTCCGCTCCGAGCATAAAACTGCTCCGGAAAAAAACCTCATATTATATGTCTTGGGATCTTGGGCAGAGAACCTTGAGCTCTTGCTTGCTCCTAGCTTTCGTCCGTTTTGATCCTGTTTCAGGTGTATCGTCGACTCGATGCCCGGTGCCAGCAATTTGGCAACACCGGATTTCTTCCATTTAAACCTATGCTAAATAATCGAGACTTGTCGGAGCGCCTGGCCCCGCCAAGAATCGATACATTTCCATAGGTTTAAACGGAGAAAAACATTGTTGCCAATTTGATGTATCCGCCCAATGCCAGTGCCTTCTTGTTACGATCGATATACACATTGAAATTTTGCTGACAGTGAGTTGAACTAACCTTCCGAGGATGTATGACATAACTCGAATTTTTTCCGATCCATAGAGGCTGCTATGAAAAACACTCAATTATGGCTAAAATGCGCCCTCATACCCATGTTCTGGCAACAATTACCTTTCAGTGCGTCAAAAGAGTCGCATTACCCGAAGCACAGATATTTTCGTCAATGGCCTAAGTTCAAGAGGTGATTGATGCAGGAATTTCTAGATTTCTGGGGAAAACGACCTTCGTAAGGAAGAGGAAGAGGAAGAGGAAAAGCAAGAGCAAAGGAAGGAGAAAAGGAAAACGAGAGGAGAGGAAAGAAAAGCACGAATACTTCCATTTCCTCCATGATATAACGAGCGGACCTCCATGACACGGATCTCAAGAAACTTTTTAACGGCGCAAATAGTCGCACTTGCTGTACGCGTGGGCGGCTATTTATAGGCGAGTCTGCTTACTTTTCGTGTACCATTACGTACTTTGTTTTTGTTTCTCCTCCTTCCTTTCTTATTTATATTTTTATTTCTCCGCACCATTTCTAGCTTGCTTATAATTTTTTCTACTTTTTTTTTCCTCATTCAATGCGGCCAGCTGGCTGGAGCAAAACCGCCACACCCCCCCCCCCCCCCCCCCNGAAGGGGAGGGTAGAAGATCTCGAAAGTTGGTAATGGTGAGCTTTGTCTGTATTAATCCGGTGTAAACAATCGACTGTAGGAATCGACAGTATCAATTTTCTTTGTATCGATTCGTTGGGACGGACGAAACTCTGCGGTGTTGTCGACTTGCCAAACTGCCTTTGAATACAAATTTAAATAAAATTCAATAAAATTGAAGAAAAAGTGTATTTTTCTTCGGGAATACATTCATAAAAAATTGCTGTACAGTTTCGTAAATATTTGGAAAGGGAACCACAGATAACGTCCAGTTACACGAATCAAATGGGATAGCACGCCTGATGTAGATCGCTGTCCTTTCGATTGGAATTTTTTGCTCAACGCATGGTTCGGAGGTGAAAGTAATAAATTAAGCAAAAATTAACAACAACATGTTCACCCATTACGGTGGGAAACGTTTCAATTTTTTGTCTCGTGTGATTTTACCGGCACGGCTCATCGAAGATAAAAACGCATAACTTGGTTTGCGACGCTTCAGATTTCGTGTCATGATTTATTTTTTGAGCTGTAAAATACTCGACATCGTCGGTTGAAAACCTGCCTCATCTGTATCCTCCGCGTGGGGAATATTCTGTAATGGTTAAAAAAAAAAAAAAAAAAAAAAAAAAAAAAAAAAAAAAAAAGTGAGAGGAGAGTTTGAAACATTGCAAACGAGATACGCGTTTTTGCTACACGACGTCGGTGTCATTAACATGAATTAGGGTAGCTATGAGAATGATTTAATCAAAAAGTTGATCATTTCCGAGTGTAAGGACAAAAATGTAAAAAAAAACTTGAAAAATGGAAATTCCCGAGGCAAGTCAAACATTCTATACAATAAAATTCTATGGTGACTTTGTTTAAAATAATCTTAGAGGTAATAATATACGAGTGGAAAAAACGCAAGTACTCTCCGAGTAATGTTTTTTCAACGTCATTTTGTTGAGGCATTCGGTTATTTTACTTTTGGGGGGGGGGGGAGCTGGGGCTCATTACGCGTCACGTTATTTTCACACCAATTTCCAATGGATTTCAACGTAACAATGGTTAATTGGTGGCAGTGCAGTATAAACAATTGTTAAAAATATTATTTTGAAAATTAAAACCAAATCTTCTCTAATATAAAGAAATCAATTTCAGGTGCAGGATTTGTTTTTTAGTAAGGAACTAATTTTTGAAAAAATTGAAAAAATTCCGGACCTTCTGGCAGAATTCCGCACTATTCAGTACTTCCGGACCGCCCTTAAAAAATCAGCACTATTTCCGTACTTTCCGGAAATTCCGGACTTGAAGACACCCTGATATTATTCATCGTCACAGCTGAGAAGAGATGGGATTGAGATAATAGATAGACTTGCGGTGGTTCAATTCGGCATCGTTGGGTTTATGGCATGGCTTGGGCCGTGAAATTGTTTGTATTTACTCTTGGAGAGAACTGTTAAGAGGCAAGACGCAGTCGGGCAGCCGGAGACTCATGGCTCACAGATCTCCTCTTGAGTTTCACTCCCTCACTCCCTCTCCCGTCTGACCTTGGGGCTCAACTCAGAAAAGTTCGTCTAGGCCCTCGTCTTCCCCCTTCGAAATTGTACTATCCAGTATTACCACATAGAATTTGGAAAATTACATTCCCTGATTTCCCTGAAACATTTTGTTGAAATTCTCTGACAATTGAGTAAAAACTTGATTCACTGAGAAAAAAAGTCGCTTGAATCTGGAGTCCAGACTCCTAAAAACATTGACAAGGAAAAATACTCTTGATTCAATCGGAGTCTTGCTTCAATCGAGAACCAAGCCTCTTACTTTGAGCGGATTTCCTTTTGATTCAAGCAAAAATCCGATTGAATCAAGAGTATATTTTCTTGTCATTGTTTTCAAGAGTCTGGACTCGAGATCCACTGAAAAATGCCACTGCCTATCTCCAGATTCCATTATCAAAGCAAAATGGACATGAAAGTTTATGATGAGGGTCCTATGAAAATTAGTACATTTTTACGGAAACCATGTCAGCTTCGTGTTTTACAAACGGCAGGTCGTAACTATTGTAAAAATGAATCATTCTGGATAATTGGAGTTCGAGGGTTGGCTGCCCTTTTAAAAGGCGTATTTGACTTCGTTTTTCTACAAATAGGCACATTTTGCGCAAAGACGCTCATTTATTAACATTCTTGGCTATCTTGGTTTGATACAGGGTTATTCAAAAGTCACGCACCACTGGCCATGAGGGAGGGGCCTATTCGAAATTTTTGAATTGCACCCCGCCCTCCTCCCGCTGAGGGAGT